GATACGGAATCATGCGCATGAATGCGCATTAATGCGCATGATTGAGGAATCATGCGCACGCATGAAACCCATCTCTAATTACAGGTCAAATTGGTTTTTAGGTCATGTTAAACTTGACCCGAGTCAAATTGGACAATTAAAAAACCCCGGCCGGCATCAACATAATTCCGGTCCGCATTAAACCTAAAATTCTGCTAGGGATCAATTTGACCCGGTCAAGTTTAACTTACACTAAAAACCAATTTGACCCGTAACAGATATACCTACAACTTAAAACCTCCCAGATTCCCGATTTGCTATGTACAAACTCCAATGCTTATTGATGATTGGTGCAATTGGTGTACCTTTACGTATAATTTAGTTTCATCTGCAGCTTTAGTATGTACGTACGTACGTAGAAAATTTCCCGAGGATTAAATTTAACCTATAAAGTGACAAAATAATGTTGAAAATGATTAATTCTCACTATATATTCTCATTTTTCTTCCTAGTGTTGTTTTGTTTTGTACTTTTACGCATTTCGGTCGTAAATTTAAACCTTCCATTACCAGTTAATGCTACGATAACAGGCTTTCTGTCATGGCATAGTGAATTGAAAAGTATATAAAATATTTTTATTTAGTATTACTGGATGTAAGTTAATAGCATTTTTTTTTTAAAAAAAATTTTTTTTAGATTTTGATCAAGAAACATGGTATTCGATGATCCTTTACACATCAATCATAGAAATAGCTTCTGGAGTATCTATGCTAATATGGTCATTTAAACATGAAACATTTAATGTCTTCGTACTTAATGGAGTAAAAACTTCAACAACTTTCTTTAATAAAATACTTGCTGGATATGTTATTATGACTGGAATAAGTACACTCACCTTAATTTTTTTTGATTTGGGAAAACTTTTTACATCAATTGCTTCGATACATAATTTCTTTGAAGTTTTTATATTGGCACTTTTGCTGCAGGGAGGAAATATTACTTCAAATCGTGCTCTTGCATCAAGTATCATTTACTTGTTAATATCCGAAGGCACAACTATTTTATTGCCCTTTCCTTATAATGCCAGTTTGTTTAAGTTTCAAGGTAAATTATATTATGCACTTTCCGTATAATACTGCCTATCAACTAACATTTGACATATCTTTACAGACCTAACTATTGATTTGGCGCTCTTTATCCAATTTCAAGGATATATTTAACGACTAAAAAAAATGCTAGAAATGGTTATTCTAGCCTACCTCAGCATACTTCTGATGAAAATGAATCCGAAGAACGCACTCAAACAAATAATGGATGTCATATTTGTCATTTTTATGCATTCTTATTAACTTTTGGGACATTTTGGCATGTTTTGGGAAATATTATAGGATCGATCTTTATTAATGAGGGACTCGCGTATGTTAATCTTTTTTACAACTTTAGTTTTATTGATTAAAAAAGCCATCGTATTAATATATATATGTTTTTTTCTAAACATTTTAATATAGGGTTAATTTATTTATTTTTAGTTACGCCTTCATGTCTAGCGCTCTCGCTTTCTCTGTATATTTTGATACACATAAAAGATCAAATATGCATGAGCAAAAGACGCTTATTTTCATACCTAATTCTTCTATTTCATGTGTTGTTTTAGTCATAACTGCTTCAATGGCCCTTTCAATTTTGTGTTTTAGAGCTAGTTTGCTTTATTTAGAATATTTTGGTTAATATAGGTTTACGTAGACTATTGAAGCTTTAATGGATCGTATTTTTGGTTCATAAAAACGAACTTGCTATTATTTACATATCGCATTATAAATTATCTGATAAAATAATTTCGGTATATCTGCTTTGCTTATTTTGTTTATATGTGTCATTTCATTTTGTCTTAACGTCAATATAACTCACTCCCGTTATTCTGAACTCTCGACATAGTAAAGTTAAGCTCAGAGCCAGTCTATGTAAAATTCTTTCAATATAGTGAATTAACTAACAAAACTCCCGATATATTGAATTTTTAAATAATTACGGATGAGGGCCCAAAATAAAAATTCTTGCATATAGCAGCCAAAAATCAAAAATTTTTACAAATAAAGGTCTGTCCGACCTCCGAGCTATATTAGGCGACTAAGCCACAAGAATTACAGCGTCGCCAAGAAAAAATGGTAGCCGGATTAAAATAATTATACAATATCATTAAAAATAGCCTTAAAACGGATACGTATCATTTCACCGACAATCACTTCACCGACAACTTAGTTCACCGACAATTAATTCACCGACAAGTTCAT